GAACTTGCCAGACTGACAAGAAAGTTTGCCCAATCTCTTATTTTATATCTCAAACTTTCTAAGTTGTAAAGCTTTATTTGCATGTTTACCAAGCATTCTAAGCCTGAAACTCTTAACGGTCAATTTAAAAGTGCCTAAGGCCTTCTTTAGAGCAGTTCCACCGGAGGTGGAATTGCCCAGCACCCTGTCCAAAACACAGGCCAGCACCCTATCCAATTGCTCCAGCCCGCAAAACAGCCTGGCACCCAGCCCAAGCTAGGCAGCAAACCAGCCCATTTCGGACAGACCCAGAAGTCGGCCTATGTGGCTGGCACGTGCACAACACTCGTGACTGGGCTCGAGTAGGAGACAAGGGTGCAGGCGGCGAGGCCCGCTTGTCAGCCCACTTGTGTTTACCTGGATGAGGGCTACGTGGCCCTCCTCAGAGTCGTTGGATTTCCAACGGCTAGTTTTTGTAGGCCGTTGGATTTCCAACGGTAAAAAAAATTTTAATTTGACTTTTAAAATGCACCGTCCTATCACAGATCAATAGTCCACATTTTTTTCACCAAAAAAAAAAGGCCCAACGGTCAGAATTTTGACCGTTGGCCACGTGGCAACTCGTTGGCTGTTGGATTTGATTATTTTTCAAATCCAATGGTCCAGATTAATTACAACATTAAAATTTATTAAAAATTAATTAAAAATTGTGAAATTTTTTTAAAAAATACAGAAAATTTTAAAAAATTAATTTTTTTTCTATAAATACCTAACTCTCGTCTTCCACCTTACACCACATTTCAATATTTTCTACACTTTCTACACTTTCTACATTTGAATATTTTGTACACTTTGAGAGAAAAAAATGACTTCGTGGAAGCTCATTGAAGATGTTACGTTGTGTGAATATTGGGTTCACACTACTCATGACCCGATTATGGGTAATGAGATGGATAAGCGAGAAACGTGGAGTAAAATTACGAAATCGTTTTGCGATGTACATGGAAAAGATGCCAGATCTAGTCAAGGTCTTCAAGGTTGTTGGAAAAAACTCAACGCATCCTTTACTTGTTGGAAAAATGCCATCTCTCATGCTTTTGGTAATCTGCATAGTGGGACAAGTTTAGCGGATCAGGTAACAATATTTTTATTTATTTATATGCATTCCACCCACATCAATAGTTTAATTTATTTAATTTCTTATGTAATTTTTATGTAATTTCTTATGCAATTTTTATGTAATTTCTTACGTAATTTTTATGTAATTTATATGCATTCCACGCCCATCAATATTTTAATTTATTTATTTGTGTTACACCCGTATTTTTTAATACTATCTTATCCCACATTTTTATAGACACTACAAGCACAAGCATTCTACAATGCAAAGAACCGTAACAAATCATTCAACAAATGGGAATGTTGGCAAATTGTCAAAGATTGCCCTAGATACAAAATTGTGGCAACTGGTCCAGAAGTTGTCATGCACGGTATGGGTCTACACAGTTCGCCAGAAGCAAACACGGCTGAACAAGAAGCCAACACATTTGAAGACACGGAAGGGATGCCTGAAGAAGTGTCGGAGACCCAACCGACTCGTCAGTCCCTCAGGCCTCAAGGTAAAAAGGCATCAAAGAAAAAAGGTAGTTCTTCCAAAAATGACTACACTAAATATATGGAGGAACTTGCTCGCCAAGGTGAACTGAACATGGCATGGGAAAAGGCTAGAGATGAGGAAAAAGCTACTGCTATGGCAGCAATAATAGCAGCTACTGAGGCTCGTGATGCGGCGGCTGAGAGACAATGAGAAATAGTTAATCGAGAGAATAAGATGATTAGAGAAGCACTTCATCGAGAGAATGAGATGCTTAGAGAAGAAAGGATGACTCAAGCAGATCGTGACACTATGAACAAGTCTCTAGTAGGACTGTCTCCGAATTCAAAATATTTTTGGACATCAGAAAAAAGAGATGTCGTGCGAAGGAGGCGTGCAAGAGATGCCGAAACAAGTCAAGGGAGTTCTAACTACAGAAATCCTAGCAACGAAGATCCTAGCACCACATATCCTAACTCCACAGACTTTTTATAATTTCGTTTTTATTTGTACTACTTTATTTAATTTGTTATGTAATTTCTTAACATTTTTAGAACTTTATTTAATTTCTTATGTAATTTCTTATTTATTTTTAGAACTTTATTTAATTTCTTATGTAATTTTTGTACTTTATTTAAATATTTGAATAAGATTATATAAACTCACCAAATAAACATTTAAAAAAAACACCAAATAAAATTACATAACCTCACCATATAAACTTTAAAAAAAAAAAAAAAAAAAAAAAAAAAAAAAAAAAACACACACACACACACACTAAATAAGATTACTTAAAAAACAATACACTTTATTCTTCAACCACAAGCCTTATTTTAATTATCTTCGCCTTCGTGCAATCCCCACTAGTGGTCAATCAAGTCATTCTTGCGGGTTATGTGCCAGTATGGCTCTTGCAATGAAGTGTATCGCTGAACAATCAATTCATTGTAACGTCCATCCCGTTCCAACGGCTCATGTTGCACGGGATCTTCGGTCCGGTCATGAGCATAGTAGATTTGTGTTCTTGAGTTGTTCATCGGATCCGACTCATATTCATCGACGGCATCATAATCATACTCATCTTCAACAATCATGTTGTGAATAATAATACACGTCATCATGATGGATCGAAGAGCCTCAACATCAAACATTTTAGTTGCAGCCCTGACAATCGCCCAACGAGCTTGCAAGATACCAAAACAACGCTCGACATCCTTCCTACACCCTTCTTGACACTTTGCGAAGTGTTTTTCTTCTTCACTCTATGGATGTGGCACTGTTTTGACAAATGTTGACCACCTTGGGTAAATACCATCTACAAGGTAGTATGGTCCTTCGTATTTATTACCATTAACCCAATATGTGCATCTCGGCCCATTTCCTTGTAGCAGTTCATCAAACACTAGAGATTGGGTAAGGACATTTAGGTCATTCTAAGCTCCTGGAACACTAAAAAAAGCATGCCAAATCCATGTATCAAAAGAAGCCACCACTTCCAAAATGATGTTTTGGCTCTTTTTCTGTCGCCATAAGCTCCTTGCCACGCACTTGGATATTTTTTCCAAGTCCAGTGCATGCAGTCGATGCTTCCAATCATGTCAGGGAAGCCTCGTATCTCACCCTTCCTCAGAAGCCTTCGCATGTCCCTTGGCGTGGGTTTCCGAAGGTACTCATTGGTGTAGAGGGCTTCAATTGCAGAGCAAAACCGCATCAAGGACTCCAGAACAGTTGTTTTTCCCATCCTTGCGATCTCATCCACTTGATCTGCAGATGCTCCATATGCAAGCATTCGCAAGGCAGCCGTAATTTTTTGCTCATAAAGAAGACCTTGAATATGAAAAGCATCATCTTTTTGCACAAAATATGGATCATGGTTGCAAACAGCACTCATGATTTTATCGAACAAACTTCGTTGCATTCTAAAACGACGTCTAAAAACATGATCAAGAAAAACGCTGTTGGGAATAAAATAATCTTCCAATAGATCTTTACCTCGTCTTTCCCTTCTTCTATCGATGTTTGTTGTACGTCTAGGTTTGGCTATCTGACCCACAGTTTCCATGATACGGCGGGAATGTGAGGCCCTCTACCTTCTATGGTGATCATCCTCATCCTCCTTTATTGCGAAGGCCTCATCTCCGCCTCCATCTTCGTCAAGATTGACCAATTCTTCTTATTGTGCCAACAACCATTTCTGCTACTCTTGCAACTGTTTATACACTCTCCTTGAAGAAGACATTGTAAGAACTCAAGATTTGAAAACGATAAAGAAGAATTCTGAGCTAAAAAAAAAAGGGTTGAGTTTAGTGTGAGGATGGATGTACGGATGTAGGGTTTATATGGACAAAAAAAGAGAAGGTGAGGTTCTGGACAATGCCACATGACACTACATGATTGGTTGAAAATCTTATCGAAATCTTGGCTAAATTATTGTAAACAGGAAGTGACACGTGGTGTGTCGGGATTGATTGAAAATCCTATCAGAAATCTATCTACAAAATAGTACGTTCGGATAATGACACGTGGCGTAACAAGATTGGTTGAAAATCTTATCGAAATCTTGCCTAAATTATTGTAAACAGGAAGTGACACGTGGCTTGTCAGGATTGGTTGAAAATCTTACCGGAAATCTTTTCACAAAATAGTACGTTCGGATAATGACACGTGGTGTGATGAGATTTGTTAAAAATCCGAACCAAAATTAAAACTATTTTTTTAATTTATTATTTTATAAAAAAATTATTTAATATTTTAAATGGACTGGGTGCCAGTGCATTTTGTAAGGATGGAGATCGTTTGTGCCAGCACATTTTTTATTGGGTGGAGATGCTTTGACCTATTACTGTTCATTAGGGTCTATTACTGTTCACTGAAGTGGATAAATGGACTGGGTGCTGGCGCAAAGTCTTTAGAGGTGGAGTTACTCTTAAGGCTGTAAAAGGCACTTGAAAGCTAACTAGAGTCCTTACACTCGCAAGGGGAATTGTGACACCAACAACCTGAACATTTGGAGGTATCATACTACAACAAGCACGGCTGTCCCCGCAAATCATAGCTTTGGTATCGCTATACATCTATGTAACAGTACTGATTATTACAAAAGGGGTTGTTTGGTGTCTATAAATAAAGGCCAGTTTGGTAACGTTTTACAAAACAATATTACTTCGCATTAAATTTGAATGATTAGAACCATCTATTTTTTTACGAGCACCTTCAATTGTATAGGCAATCAAAATAGGCAAAACAGTACTTAAAAAATAGTTGACCTGACACGTTGCCTACGCAATTAGGAAATCTCAAATAAGAACTTAATTTTAAAACACGGGTACGGTTTCACGGTTTAATGATAAGAAGAATCCCCTATCAATACAATGCCACTAATTTTGGATGTCCTTGGGTTTGGAACTAGAGTATAACACTTTCAAAATGTGTTCAGATAATACATTAACCACTTAAACAAGAGATTCACAGCATCCACAAGGACCCAAATTTCACCTGATTCCTCAAATCTTAATTTCTTATAATCTGGGATTACCTTGTAACTAAAAGAATGAAAACAAAGATGTTTCTTCTGCACCTTGTTACAGCATTTTCTTTACGATAATTGATCGTGATGCATCTTTCATATAGGTTTTGGAGATTCGGATACCCTCGACCTAAAAGAATGAAGAACTACATATATTTCCTCCGCCAAATTAGGCCGCCTTTTCTGAAATAATGGATTGTAATGCATCTCTCACATACGAGTATTTGAACGAGAAACCCAGCTCCTTGGCTCTAACTGGAAGCACATTCTGCCCATCCAGAACCTGCAACGACCTTGTTATGTATCTCAGCAATATGAAATTGGGAAAGGGTTGAAAAGAAAATAAAGACATTCTTACCACAGAAGCACCTTCGCCAAGGACTGCTTTCAGGGCAAAGTCCGGTACAGGCAGCCATGAGGGCCTGCCCAAGACATTTCCCAAATTTTCACACATTTCTGCAAATCGAACAGGGTTGGGTGCAGTTCCATTGATAACTCCTGAGATTTAGGTAAAAACTGTGTTCAATATGTTGAAAAGTTTCAAGAACCAGTGTCACACGACATTGTTGAAAAGTTGAACACATATCATCATTAATTTGTTTATAGAAATTCTTAAGAGCATCCGAACTCTTTAGAAGTGTAGTTATCTCCACAGGCCAGCAAACTTTAGATGAAACCAACATCAATCCTTTGGTTCTTTGTATTAACTTCAAGACGTTAATAAGTATTGAATCCTTACCTTTATAAGATGGATTGGATAGGGCTTCATATATCAGGTTCACTATGTCATCCAGATGAATCCAGGAAAACCTACACAATATTGAGAAGGATCAATTATCCAAGGTGTTGACAGGAAGGATGAAATAAACTAATAAATGACATGCAATCAGTACATACGAAACCTTTAGTAACTTTAGTTTCTTCTTTATTAAACAACCGACGTCCTCAGTTGATCATGAATATCCAAATGAAATTTAACCAACGATGTCATATTGTTTGATTAACATCACTCAAATGCTTTTACATATACAACAACCAAGCCTTGTCCCACTAAGTGGAAAGTGTTAGTAGCAAAACATCGACTGATACCCATCATACGAAGGACAGAATTGAGGACAATACCATTGCTTTCCAGAGCCCAAGGGTCCTCCAGCAAACACCATAAAGAGAGGGATCATTTTAGCTGCAAATTCTCAAAGGTGTCAGCATGCTTGAGGCAATCGGAGATTATTACATTCATACTAACCAGAGTTCAAGATATGTACACTTTGTAACAAAATCGAGTGACGTTTTAAATGTCTTTTGCCAGTATATTTTTCTAACATGACATCACAAATTGAAAGTTACAGATAATTATGCATAGAACAGCCTGGTACGATTACGAGGTCATGCAAGCCTCAGTGCAACCAGATTGGTCAATGTATAATCAAACATAAAGCAGAAAAATTGCAAAACAATGTCAATGTAGACAAGTCTAGTTAGTGAGCAAACATTGCAACTAAGAGTTCACAGTATAAAGCATACCTAAAGCTCCGCCATCTTTACCAAGGACAACACCAATGCGAATGAGCGCTAGCCTAACATCCTTATTCACTTTGCGGGCAGTTCCTTCCCATTCTCTACAAACCTGAAAAGACTTTTATGTTAGTTGAAGTCATGATAAGGCTTAGATGTGAGTTAAAGATGAGGACAATTTTGTGCGCAAAAGAGGAGAAGTTGTGATAGTGATAATGTGATATTCCTTCATGGACTGGAAGTTGTATTGGTAATAGAGTGTATATTTAAATTTAAACAGACTGACAATATGTCCAAAAGTCCATTCTACAACTCATAATAACAGTAGGCACCACAACCATGAATTCTAAAAGAAAAACATAAACATAATTCATCTGAGCTGCAATAGCCCTTGGCCAGTGATCCTAAAACTAGAAAACTGAGATTTGATATGATCAAAGTAGTCAGGAATTCTTCTACCTAATCAAGTCTTACCACACCATTGAAATTAGAAGGTTCAATTTTCCATTTAATTATTTCCATCATGTCTTTTTTTTATTTAAAATTAAATAAAGGTAAAAAGTTCCTCTATCACATCCAAAGGACATGCCAAGAACCTAGTATTTCAATTTCCGGAAATTCAAACCTTATTCAGAAAATTAGTCATCTGCAACCACAAAGCCTAAAGAAGGTTAAGGTAGCATCCCCAAAAGGGTATCAGGACAGTAATCAGTTTGATCCGACTACATTGGCTATGTTGTTGATCAATCTGACTATGCATTCAACATCTATTTAGTAAGACAGTCATTAGTCAGATAATTAAATACTTTCAGAACATAGAAATCTTAGAAGTTCTAACTTCTAAGCATATTGTACAACCTCAATTGCCTTTTCATACATTCTTTTTGAAACTGATTATTCATAAAGCTTACCTCAGCTAAGTAATCGTTCCCTGATGGACTTTGCTCATCAAATACTTGTGTCTCACTAGTACCTGAGCATAATGAATAGAAAATTAAACAAGAACCAAAAAGGAAAATTATCTTAGTAACTTTAAAGAGGCTCCTTAAATTTGGATTATGAATCTCCAGTAATGGAAAATCATATGCGAGCTATGGGGAGACAATAAGTGTTGCTTCAGCACAATGACTATGTAATTACTAAATGGTCTTCTAACTCGGTCTGACATCAGTTTGTATCACTTTTGAACTTTATCAATTATCTATGAACTTTATCGATTAACTAGCAGATCCAAGGACGCTCCAACTCCATGGGATATTGAAAGGCTCAGTCAGAATCTAATGATCCCAAGAAGAATAAATTCCACATAAATATCTAAAATGTTTTACAGAGGACTACTAGCAAAGCAAGAAAAATAACTGAAACTTCATGCAAACCAAGCAAATACGGTGGCTTAATAGATAATAAGCATGAGACTGAACGGACCATAGTAACCGACAGCTGTTGCGCTAACCAAGACTGTAGGTCGAACTGCATCTGGTAAATCGTTTATTAAATCTATGACCTTCACAACCAGTTGAAAAGGCCAAATCAGTTTTTGATTAAATAATACTCTTTTTATTAAGAAAAGGAACAAAAACTGAATTTGTCTTTTGACAGCCGCATCCACTAATCAGTATAAGAAACAACTACCAACCTTCGAGGTGACCCTAATCCTGCTAGTCTTGATCTCTTTCTTTATCTACAGTCCAATAAGAAGTTAGTAACTTCTAGGCATACATACATATGTTCACTTCTGATATTGAATCAACATGAATCACAAACTGTATGGCCTTAGACAGCAATATTCCGTCAATTCATGGCAGTTTTTTTTTTACTAGTATGAAGTTTAATTCACCACTGGTACCAACCTCAGGAGACCATCTTGTGCTTATGGGCAGTCCAGCCAAATTTACGACACCGGTTGAACCTTGAATGCTGTCTTTCCACTGTGCCTCCTCTGCAATCACGATTCCTGGAAAGTCCTTGACTACAGATGGCAGGAAAAATTTCAAGTGTTAAACCAAAATATCTGTAAAAACAAAGTATACAGATGACTAGTTATCTCAATATTAACCTGGACAATAAAGCCAACAGTTAACAATGATTCAAGGATTGGGTTTAATTTCATAATAAACAAATATAATAACTTTTATGTTAAGTTACCATGTTCCCAAAAGCTTAAGTATTAGGAAACAAGCACAACAATGCTATCAAGAATAATTTAACATGAAACACTAACGCTCCTTCTCACATGACGTTCACACAACAACGAACCAAATTAGGCCTTACAGGAGCATAACAGAAATTACCAGAAAACTGGGTATTAATACTAGAACCAATGGCTTGAGGAACAATCTCTCTCCAAACCCTAACTCTATCAAGCATCAAACAACAACACACACTAACAATATGCTTGAAGTACACACAAAATAATTCTTGCTTTAGTTTTCGTGCTGGTTCTTGGGATGAAGGAGGGGTTGTTGGACAGATATCCAACTATTTAACCAATTCTAAAGAGCGGATTTCTCTAGAAGTTGATTATGGAAAAGTAAACACTAGCTGCTTACATATCAATGCTTTTGATGTAATGAGGAAGTGACTGGTAGAAAGCAATGGTGGAACAATAGAGCAGCTCCTATTTCAAATGATTCACATGAATTTGATTTTTTTTTTGTACTCAGAAAATCTAACTTACAGTTTCATTTCACTATTTACTTGGATTTATTGAAACATATGCACACTTACTATTCATAGATTTCAAATTAAAATTTAAGCAAATAGCCAACAAGTGTACATTACCTTCTTACCCGGAAAAATTAACTCAGCCTTTGATCTGGACCGTGTCAAGACACGCACACTATGATTATCTGCATTACAAATTGGATCGAAAGAACGTTCAGGTAGTGAAACTATGGACATGTAGTATGAGTTTCAGCTTCATAGCAATAAGTATTAGGCAACGTAATCTTAGTTAATGCAACCAAGCAGCACCACAACATTGAATTCATTTGATTTGGTTGTAAATGCACCTTGTTATGCATAAATACTGAAAGATATGCATGTCCCTTCTTGCTAGCTCCAGTAAAATGAGGACCAAATCAAGTTATTGGAAATAATCAATCCGAGGTGGATGCACGAAAATAAAGTATAAAAACAACAGAATGGAAACACTACGTATAAGCCTGCAAGATTTTTATAATAGTGGAGAAGTAGAATGAGCATAACCTGCATGCAGCCTTTGCACCAATCTTCTCCCGATAAAACCCGTAGCTCCAGTTATTGATACAGTCATCTGATTTGCCTAAGACAACCTACAAAGAGTCAATATCCAACAGACAAAATGCAACCTATAAATGTTCAAATATATTCATGTGACGTTCCAACTTTTTTAACTACAAACATAAATGCAATCACCCTAAATCATCTGATTTATCACTGTTCATCAACCACTATGTTATATAAAAAGGGCTGATGATAAGTAACTTTCCGAAGCCCACTCCCTACAACTTTTGGGCCAAATTGACGAGGGCAATGTGCACCCTCCTTGCACCCAAGTTTGAATCTCCATCTCCGGAAAATGAATTAGTTTAGAATATCGCATGTGCCAAAGATAAAACATATTAAATAGTAAATATTGAATTGACCAAGTAAATTTGTATAGATATGAACAGAAAAGTACGTGTGTGTGTGGAAGGATTAATGTTGAAGAGCATTACCTTCTGGGTTTGATCAGAGGCACACCAAACACTGAGCCTCCGAGTCCCACGCTTCTAAAATTCCAGAAAAACAAAGATTAGAAACAAAACAAAGGAGAAATTCGAGAAGTGGGTAGTGAGATACTCACAGAGAGGGGCAGAGAGACGTGACGAGGGATAGAGACAGTGTGGGTCCATGAGAGAGCAGTGGCTCCACAGACCTCCATTGTTGCAGCAGCTTGCAAGCTCTCTCTTTCTGCTAAAACAAGATGTTTTGTTTCTCTTTTCTGAGATGGCGGTGAAAGGAAAGGCTAAATCACCGAGTCGGAGTCACCCATAATGGCAATGTGTTTGATTACGAACCACACCCAAATTACCCAAAACCAAACCAGCCACCCATTTCCATCGATTGCCTCTTCTCTTTTGTTTTTGCTCGGTCATTTTTTCCATGGATTTTAGTGACACATTTTTAGAGGAGTGCTATCCGGAGAGTTTAAAATTATTATAATTATGATGTTGTAAATAAACAAAAGTTAGAGAGATAATCATTGTTATGGGACATGAACGAAGCATGTGCAAAATATCACACTATTTAATTTCGTAACTATAATACAAAAAGATTGTAGGTAAAAAGAGAAAGGAAGGGATACTAATATTATTGCTTTCAGTTCTTTTTTTTCTTTTGTTGTGTGTATTGTGATCACAGGAGTTCTCTTTATATAGAGCAACATCCATGACAAACCAAGAAAACAAAATGATTACACTTTTTGAAAGTATCACACAACTACTATTACCTTACTATTCTTAAGTCTCCTTCACTGTGGACATTCATTCATCTTACAATTTTACAACATATAATAATTAAAGGACAAAAAATTTAAACTCGAAGCGCATGAGTCAAAATTCAACATTCTATCCACCTTCTAGGCATTTTAGATAACGTTCCTTCTACGAAAAAAGAAAACAAAAGAATCTACCAATTTAACAAGTTAAGTTTTTCGTTTCCTAGCTCTTGGGTCTTTGCTTTCCTAGCTCAACTATGAGGGTGTTTCCTATTGTGATGAAGCTAATTGGATCAAATGTTACGTGCAACTCTTTGGAAGAAAAAATGGCAGCAACTATTTGAAACAGCAAAAACATGAAGTTGATCGTTAATTTTTAAAATTATTATTATTATTTGTGTAATTCATTAAGGATATTATTTTTAACTCTAAATAAGTTATATATGACACTTCAAAGTCATATATAATCTCAATTTTTTCGGTATAAAAGAGTGATTGTGTCACATTTGGAGTCAAATATGACTTTTGACTCTAAATTAAGTTTATGTGTTGATTATAGAATCTGACATGAAATTATTGTTATGCTATTTTAAATTTGAAAAAGAGAGAAAAAAAGGAGATAATTCTCTGATGTAATTTGCATCACCCATTTTTCAATTTACGTAATATTATTAGAAACATAATGGACTTGGGCTTTTATTCAATTTATTAGAAACATAATGAACTTGGGCTTTTATTCAATCCAGGCCTACAATACAGCCCAACAACGCAAGCCCACTCTAAAACTAAAATATTTGATAACGGCAGCTGTGAAGGGTGAGTAGTGGTGAATGAAGTGGAAAAACGGCGATGATGATGCAGTGGTGCGGCGCAGCGGCGAGGCGGGTGCTGATGGCGGAGCAGCGCGCCCGTTTCACGACCTCCTCCTCCTCCGTGGAGGCATCAGCAGCAATTGCAAAAGCGAATGTGCTCGGGGCGCCGATGCTGTGCGGGCGAGGAGACAAGAAGACGAAGAAAGGGAAGCGATTCAAAGGGTCGTTCGGAAACGCTCGGCCGAAGAAGGAGAAGATGATCGAGCGCATCAAGGACAAGGTTGAGGTGCCCAGGTCCACCCCTTGGCCTCTCCCTTTCAAGCTCATCTGAATTTTTCAAATTTTCACTCTCTTTTTTCTTAGGATTTTAGCTCCATATATTTAATGTCGAACTCCCTAATTTTTTAGGGTTTTAAGTGTAGTGTACAATTTTTTTTTTAATGTCAATTCATATTTCGGCTATATATGTTTCAATTGTTAATTGTTTGTTTGATGGGTCTCTTGGTGTTGTAATTTTGTCGTCTAAAACCACAAAATGCATGATAAGATTTGAAACTTTGATTGAGAGCTACTTACAATGGGCAGATTTGAAACTTTGATTGTATTAGGATGCCGCTCGAGCTACTGAGAATGGAAATGTCGGGACTTTTGGTGTTTAACTGTGCTATTCATTCTTATTGGGGTTAAGGATGAAAATAGTGATTGCTGGTGTAGTAGGGATTTGATCTGCATACAGTGAAGTACTTCCATTTCTCAGGAGCATTTAGCATGGGATTCGGGTTTAGGGGTTCTAGCTTCGGGTTCTGTTTGCATGTATTTTCAGTATATCATCTTCTAAGTCCATGTTTCACTTAATTGCTTGAGTAACTTAGAAGATTTTCAGAAATATATTGAAGCAATTTTGTTGGAGCGGAACTGACAAAAAGAGTGACGGCAATACTAGGTGGAAATTGTGAACCAGGTGCGTAAATTAGAGTTTGGACTGGTTGGTGAAATGTGAGTGTAGCATATAAGGATGGTTTGTGCTATGATAAGATGGACACCAACTATTTTGAAAATGCTTTATGAATAGGAATAGGCGTCATGAGTTATGATATTCAGTTTGTGAGTGGGTTGAAAACGAATTGCTGTTCAATTTGTGACACTAGATGCTTTCCTGTGGTATTATTTCAAACATCGGTATGATTCCACATGGATAATAATGGTTTTGGTAGAACTTAGTTGCCTCAGTATTGTTCCTGATCATCGAGTCAATTAGCTAGATAAATGTTGTTGATTGATGTATAATGCTAATTTTGATTGAAAGCTAGTGAATTCTTGCTTATCTCCCAAATCATTTTGACTCTTGCTAGGCATGGAGGGCAAACCTTATAGGCAACTTAGATTTTCCTATTACCGATTGCAGATTGTCGGATGGTTCATAAGTTGGTAGGGAATTAAATGATAGGACATGATTGATAGAGCATTTGATACCAAAAACCATTCCATTTTTGTGGCTGATGCCCTGGAGCTATACTCGCAGCCTAAATTAGAAAATATAATTAGTGCAAAATAAGCTTAATCCACTTTCTAATCGAAAAGAGCAGTGTCTTTAGTATTTACACATTGTATGGTGTATTATAGCAGTGTCAAACTAAACATTTGACCTTTATTATGCATACTTGATGATTAACAATTTCATTTTCCTCTGTCGTTTGGAACTGATTTGTCAACTCGAGCGCTAGTTCTGCAATTACGCAGAGTCCAATGATAGAGTAAATGAAGCCAAACATAATAGTCACTACACCAACTGGGGATGCTAGAGGAAAATATTTTTCTCTTTTAGGTTCAGTTGCAAGCCTAAATCCAGTGTTAATTGCCCATGCTAGCATGACCATTGCGATGATACTCACAACCTATGCGGCTGACGATACATATCGTCTTCAGCTTCCCTGCTGCATCATCAGAAATTGAGTGAGATGATAGTTGTCGAAGGTAAAATGTAATAGATTTCATAAGTTTAGAAGCCATTGAATGTACTAATGAACTCTTTAGCTTTTCATGTGTGTTTGTATCATATGTTCATGTATATACCTGGAGAAAGACTTAACTACCCCGGTTTCATAGACGCCCGCCCCTCCTCTAACCTCTATCAGATTATGTGATGTGATGATAGAGATAGAACGGGTGTATGAAACTAAGTTTCTCGCACCCCTGAAGTTAACTCCTGTTTCTTTGTTTTAAATTCCTATTTCGGCGTTGGTTACATTACCTTGATTTGGAGGTTTCCTGGTCTCCTCCTGCTTCCTCTGCAATTGTTCTGAGAATTTTATGACCAAGTCTACCAGCAAAGGAAGACCAGCAACCAAAAACAGGAAACCGAGAACTATCGTCAGAAGTCCGACGCAGAATGCCCGGTTGTTCGACTCCCTTTTCATCCACGGCCTGTCTGCAGGCCCAGATTCCGACGTAATGGTCCACAGGAACAGAACTACCATGAGCAGAGACGTCAACACAGGAAACAATGTTGCATATAGGGTTTTGGCATCTCTACTTACCTTCAACCCCAAGGCTCTTGTGCCTTCTTCCTCCATCTTCGGCCCACCGGAGTTCGAGGAGAGAAGAAGAAAAACAGAGAAGAAACAAAAGAAATGGTTCTGGCACTGAGAAACTACAGAGGGTTATGGTTTAATGGATCACGCCAGATAAATGGGGGAAAATTTATGTTCAAAGTTAGTTGGGTCATCACTTAATTCAAAATTAAATAAACATGACAGAGATTGTGGTAATTAGCCGTGCTTTATTACCTAACACCCAATTTATGAGTGAAATGCCCTCTTGCCACTTGGTTTTGTTTTGTTGACCATTATCATTTATTTTTAAATGGTGCTTCATACGCCTATTTTTATCGTTCACATATCCTGCTAATTCCTATCTCATCATATTCAATTCATTTAATTTGACGATCGAAACTTGAAAGAATAATGCGGATAGGACCAACTTTATTTTTCAAAAAATGATGAAATAATTTACACTAATTATTTAAACAACAGTAATATGGGAGAACTTAAACCCGAAACTTAAAAACTTGAAAAAAAAGTACTTTATTTACCAGAATAATCCACCGTTTATTATTGCCGTCGTCAGCTTACATCAGTCATGAATATTCAAAAGAAAGAAAATGACAGAGACTTTTGGAATTTAATTGCGTTTTCCACAGTGAGAGCACTTTGAAATGGACACGCCACATCTTCAAGTTTTGAGGTAGTGTTTTTCCTGTTTTTGGTTCGTTTCCAATTCCAAAGGTCCACATTCGTTTGCAGGTCATCATGGCTTGAAAGGTAATTTAAATTTTAATTATCATGTCATGTCCTAATCACCCTTCAAATTCTTCAATTCAATTCACAAGTGGACATTGTAATGCTACTTGTTAGTCGTAGTGGAACTCGAGTCTCCTTAATCTCGTGGGCGTTTTTTGGTGGGTGGACAAAGACCGGAAAACTAGTTAGTGTCCGTCGATGAACTTAACAATGACGAGACTGGACTCGTTAGATAGAAGAAACGCATACCCAATGAGGCCCTTGGTCGTATCTCTAAGTGTGTGTGCGCGACGAGAATTATTCTGTATCTTACTATCAAAAAACTAAAAGAGGAAACATGTCCCGTTTCGTCTCAGTTTCCATGAAACTAGTTTAGCAACAAGAATTTTCTAACAAAGAGACGATTTCCAAACGACAAACCACTGCCTAAGTTCATACGGACCAAAAACCCCCAACTCACTACTGGTAATGCCTGGCTAGAACCCAACCTATCAAAAAAAATGTACGTGTGTGCGCGCGAACGAAAAGATGCACTCATGCACCCACACTACATTCTAGTGTCGCATATTTGCCCGCCAGCAATAACTCAGCGAAGGAAATGCAAATTACATGAACAGGAGAAAGTTGTTCATATCAAGCGTCACGCTTAATCCAATCCTGATCCTGCAGCATAAGCCGCGTTGTACTAAAACACCAAACATACCTTGAAAGGAGAAACTAAGCATTTAAAACTATTCAAAGCTTAAATTCATCATTTACTTAAGCAACGCGTCAATGATGCTGGCCTCAATAATTATCTTCATCATCATTTTCACTCTCCATCTTGATCTGCATCGTTAAAAATAACAGACATCATCAACATAAAAAACTTATTATTTATTTATTTATTAGAAAGAAGAAGAAAAGCATTGCGTGACGGGGGAATGCTTGATGTGTGTTAAACTGGGAAACACATTACTTCCTTCCTAGTCTCTCTCCCTCCTTCCTCCTCTAGTCCTTTGGTTTTGTCTCCATCTCCCTCAGTTTCCTTTCTCTACCAGGTTTCTAATTCTCGAAGCTAGCACCATCAAAATGTCACAGGGAAAACTTCTGCCACGGACTTGTACCTAAGGGCTTTCATGCACACACGCAAATTAGTGGAATTATTGAAAATCTTGATTCTCTCTCTTTTGCAATTTTTGGATTTCTGCAAATTCTATGAAAATTACATCTTAGGGCCTTCTACCTTCCACCATTTTCCCTCCGGTTATTCCTTCTCTTTGTTTCTATTGCTTTAACTCTATTTGGGTTCATATCATTTTTCCTCCAGTCATTCACTCTCTCTTCATTTTCTGTTTACCAATTTGTTTCCTTCAATTTTTCAAGATTAAGCAAGGAGCTGATACGAAATTAGTAACCAAAAAAAAAAAAAAAACAGACAAAATTTTCGTTATGACTATAATGCCCTCGCAATCAACAATGTAAATCAATCCGAAGACTCATTCATATTGAACCAAAAGAGGAGGAAAAATAAGATTTTGAATTTGTGGATGGTAGAAGAACAAGACCGTTATGGTAGCACTAGATTTGTGATTTCCTGTTTAAAACTTGAAATTACAGTAAGGCTACAAGTTATGCTCTTACTACACAAGTAACTTTAGCTATTTATTTATTTATTGGAAGTAGGAAAGAAGAAAATGTCATGTCAGTCTAGAGAAGATGTCACTAATGTGTTAAGAAATGGTGAGTTGACAAACTGTGGCACTTGTCATGTAAAAATTAGAAAGAAGGGAAAGTGTGATTCTCAGTCTCAGAAGAAGGGGTGAAAACTCAAGAAAGCCAATCAACTGAGCATCCAAACTGACAAGTGTTAAAGAAACACATATCAAGTACATAATTAAATTGCTCACCTTTATTTATTGCGAAGAAAAACATTTGAATTTTTAGTCGTTATCCTCTTTTCCATAGTCATATACTATCTCAATCTGCATTAAACAACAAATACCACCAGGGTTAAACCAGTTCAAGGTGACCGCATTGTTCCTGGAGGGAATAGCACTCTAAACGGGAACAATGCAAAGCCAAGAAATATTTGGAAAAGGTAAAGAACTTTCTACTTGCAATAGGAAGACACCCTTTTTTTGGAAACTGGCAACAGTAATGTTAATCGTAAGTAAGAAAACAAATTAGAGCTCCAAATCATCCTTTTAAGCTTGACCGATAACAGTATTCTATTTTCCAGAATGAAATAAAGGATGATGGTAGAACGTCAGTTAAAACCAATTAGTAGGTAACTAAGAAAACTCTCAAGGATCCATTTTGATTACTGGGCAATCACAGTACTCTATCTTCGTGAATTAAATAAAAGATGATGGTAGAAAGTAAAAAATAAAAGTAAAAGGTTAAGCAAGATAAAAAGAAACTCTTAGTTTTGAGTACTCATCTAGAAATGATAATTATGTCAGCAATTATACAACTATAACACATTACTTTTCTTCCAAAATGTAGAACAGCAACCAACTATGAGAATACTTGTCCAATTCCACTTGTGCCCTCTGGTTAGATAATAAATGCATGACTAGTAGAGACAAAGTAAACATAAAACACAACGCAAAAGGAATCATGAAAATGATTGAAAAAATGTAGATGTCCTAAAAATAGATGTGAACAAGCAATACACAGAAGCACAATGAAAAACTGAAGAATGAGTAATGATAAAATTACCCCAGCAGGTGGAGTAGGATTTCGGTGAAACTTAGAACCACCGGGGGCCCAAGGAACTGCACAGGCAAGATGGAGAGTGGAGAAGATGAGACCGTATAAAACCATTAGTAAAAACATAATATGGAAAACACAGGGATTGATTAAGTAAAATAAAGATAGACCAACCTATTAGAAGTTACAAAAGCAAACTCTTAATTCAAGTTTTTATCTATGTACAAATGAGAACAAAGATATGGTTGTAGGGATAGGTTAATAGGGTGCCATAATAAATATAACTTTCTAAGCAATGATGATTTTGTTGCTCATCCAAAACAATTTCTCGAGCATAAGGTAGCTTAAACACACTACGAAAATTTGAGGTGAGGTTGAAATGCCATCAAATCTAAAATGGTATCATATCAAGCCAGTTCCAAAATCCTCTCTCACTAAACTACTACCCATATGAAAGCTTAAAAGATGTCGGAGCTTACAGGAAAAGTGAGGTCCAGCATATCAAACAAGAAACAAAGAACCTAAAGACATATGCCTGGAAATTTATGAAAGCTGTTCCCTTGTTTTTCTAATTGGGGGGCAAAAGCAATGAATTTATGCAAGTAAACTTGGCATTTTACGGAAGGGATTGTACCAATGTAAGGATCGGGATGGCGCCACTTATTGTAAGTGGCTTCGGCATTCGCTATGAGTCTATCAATGGTGTCAGGATCTTCCTGTAAATCCATACCAATCAAACAATCAATCAAAAGGGTACCTTAATTCATTAGCAAAACAATCAAAAGGGTACGTTTATCCAATAACAGAAAATGCAGTCAAGCTAAATAATCAAAATTTAAACTGAATGAAAAAAATTCATAAGTAATCGAATCGAAATGGAAACAAATAAATAAATAAATAACAACAATAACAACAAAAATTGGGGAAATTGAATAAAAGGGAAAAGACCAACCACATGCTTGTTGGTTTCGAACCTCTCGCGGAGAGCATCAGCCTGAAGAACAAAAATAATCAGACAGCGATCGAAATTGAATGCAATGTAATCGTTGATGGATGGTTGTGATTGTATAATGAAGATTGGAAAGGGGGGCGGAGAGAGCGATTACATCTGGGTAGAAGAGGTGGCGGTGAACGGCCCAGTTAAGAGTGTCTCTGAGGGCTCGCCTGTAGAGGATCCGAACCTTCTCCTTCTGAGCTGCTCGACGAGCTACGTACGCTGCTGTTGACACTCCGCTCATCCCTCTCTCTCTCTCTCCCTCTCCCTGCACTCTTTCGTTGTCTCAGGCCTTTGGTCAGATGAAATTTGACGACAAAATGGCTGGCAAAACGAAGTCGTTTCCTTTCTGGGCCGAACGATCATAACTTAATCGGGCTGGGCATATTGTACCAGGAAGCGAAAACCCGGATTCGATATGAAACCAAACCTATTCTCTAATTATACGATTCGGGACCAGTTTTGAATTTTTTGAAGGATATTACTATTCACACGCACCTTTTTATCTTTTACATATTTTTATAAAATTTTGTCAATTGTTTTTCTTTAACTCATTCGATTCGACGGTCGAAAATTAAAAGGAATGTGTGAGAGTTAAAAATAGGTATGTAAATAGAACTATCATAATTTGAATCGTATCAACCAAACCAAATTGAACCGAATTTTTTAAAATTGATTTTGTTACGTGTCCAGCTTCTATTAGGTGAGGCCATACTTCTAGCATGGACTTGTCCAACCCAGATCTTCTCCGGATCTACAAATACTGAGCCTAAGGATCAAATGATTTACATCGTTGAAATTTGATCTAACAGCTACAATTATTATAACTTTTAGAGGGCCCCTTGTTTGTAACCGTTGGATCAAATTTTAATGGTCAGAATCATTTGATCCTTAGGCTCAATTTTTTTTTATTCAACGAGAATCTAGGTTTGACCTTGTCCACACTTCCAATCAAAGAAAAAACAAGCAAAGTGGCTTTTCTATAACACAAGTGAACCATGACTGAAAGCCCTCCTCCCTCCTTCACCCTCGTTCTAGTTCTTCGCCTCCTTCCTCAATCCCTTGTTCGAAGTTTGAACTTTCAACTTACTGTAAGTCTACCAATTAAAATTTATGGGAATGCAATTGGGTTAGAATTATGGGTTTTCTGAACCCAAATTAACAGTAAAACCATACTTTGGTACGGACTAATTTGGTATTACTGTGTTTTTTAAAAAATAAATTATTTCTGTTATACTGTGAGAATAAACAACTGTAAAATAAAGTTGCTGAGTGTTTGGTAAACTTTTTTTGTAAAAATGCTTTTAATAATAAAAAAACAATGTCTGAATGTTTGGTAAACTTTTATGTAATGTGCTTTGAATATATTAAACGACTAAAAGAATATGGTATTTAATGTGATATAATCAAAGACAATAATGTAGGGGCAAATATTGTAATTTTGTAAAACATGTGGAGGTATATTTGCTATTTGAAAATTTCATTAACTGAGCACTAATTACTATGATTTGAAGAGAAAAAAACACTTAATGTTTTTTTTTTTAAATTGCTGTCATACAAGGATACAGCACATTTCCACCACTGTGATAAAGGGCCACTTGAGAGAGAGAAGGGGGGTGGTGATGCAACACAAGGACTTCTCAAGAGGTTACCCATCCTAGAACTACTCTCGCCCAAACTCACTTAATTTCGGAGTTCTGATGGTATCCGATGCATACAGTTGTTTGTTCTTGCTTTTAGGTAGTTCTCGCACAACCATGGCAATGCGAAAATTTGGTTCCAACATAATTTCTAATCTTGTTTGGTTGTCCTACATCAGTGGTTTTCCAGTGTTGCTGGAGGTTGAAGAAGGTTATTCTTGTTCTGATGCAGGTGTTTTTTTCTTCTTGTGCAATCGGAGTCTCTTTTATCCAAAATTGAAGCATACATGATCTGATTTGATACATGTGTTTGAGTGGTGTGGAGCACCACCTGATTCAACTCAAGGTGCCCTGTAGAGGATAATTACCAAAGAAACGCCAGGGCAAAAATTGTTCTTCCGTACAAATTTGGATAGGGATTTTCTGATAATTCCAGCATTGGATCTACTCCTACGCATAATGCATGTTTTCGAAAACCCCACGGTGTGTATGAGACAAACGTATCCATTTCGATTAGGGTTTCTCTTTTAATCCAAAGGCTAAGGGAAATGAGATGTTATCATTTTGTGCATAAGCATTACACCCTGGGGCATTGGCTTGAGGGACAAGACCAGTAACAGTCACAAAGATTCTAAAAACCATATTTCATTAAAGATGCAACAAATCCAGGAAACCATATTACCAAAACACAACATAGCTTTCGCTGAGCATGCCGACTAAGATTTATACAATTCCTATAGATAATCGTAGGCAATCAGTTTCAAGTTTTGGTGACGAAAACAACGCTCTGTGGCCTATCTAACTTGAGAAACTGGTTATCTATAGTGGTATAATATATATGAGCAGCATGTTTATATAAGGGATGCCATGCTATTTTTCCATCCAAAGGATCTACGCCGTGCTTTCGGGGGTGTGAAACTAAGCCCAAACATTCCCTTGAGGGCCTGCCCCTGCTCTACGAACATCACCAGCTTTGCAACAATGGCGGCGCTCTCTGTAATGTGGTTCATATTATTTGTGTTACTCCACAAGCAGTTGGCCAGCTGCAGCCTCCTGCGCTTTGAATCCAGTGCAATACCCCACTTCTGGAAGAGTCTCTTTCTCTCTTCTGCCGAAAACCTTTTCTGCATCAGCTTGCTTAGCATTACTCTCTCGCGACCAATAGCTTTCATGCTGTGTCCAAATACACATGTTGCATCCATAAATCAGAACAGTACTTTAATCAACTTGTGCATGAAGTAGAAGTTAGCACAGAAACAAGACATTATTCAAAAAATAAGGACATCGAGTAAAAAGAAAGTAAAAACAGACACACGAGAGAGTGAACCTTGAAGCGAGTGTGAGCGCCTGACCATTTTCGACAGCTTGATCTCCACGGGAAAAAGTTTCCTCGAGGAAAGATAGTCTCCTAAGTTCTACCTCCATGTAAATGGAATCTGTTGGATCACCTTTGAAGAGCAAGAAAAAATAGGTTCGATGGACCACTGATATATGGCAAGTTTGCCAAAGTTCAAATATGGCCCTCTGCTGTCTCTCAAATTCCAGTGGCCAATCAGGATTTTCTGATAATTCCAGCATTGGATCTACTCCTACATCTTTCACTTTCTTTTCAAACTTTTCCCCCGTCTCTTGGTCCTAGCATGCACATACAGATCCATGTCAAACAAAGCCAAAGATTTGTGAGAAGCTGACTTGCCCAAATGCCTTCCAATAAATAAATGCAAATTATAGTAAGACTATTCGTATATAAGTTGGAGAGAATTGACAAAATTAAAGACGGTTAAACGTTTCAATAGGTAATGTGGCTTGCGTGGATGTAAAAATGCACATGTTGCATTCTCACCCCAACTTGTTGATATAAAAATTATAAACTTATAAGTGTGAATCTTAAGAGTAAGACTAATGCATAATATTTCACATTCTCATGAATTTGTCACCTTCAAGGATATGATCTAATTACTATAACAAGCAAAGACAGACACACAAAAAATGACAGGGTTTTTTAGCGGACAAACTCAAAATTAAGCACATTCTCACCTGACTGTTGACAAGTTGTCTGTCATTCTCAAGATTTTTGGCCATTTTCTTTAGTCCCTTGACAAAAGTATGAACACTGGTAATATCCTCATCTGCAGTCTGTCCTCCTAACTCATACACGGCACTCCCAAGGGAAGATTGAGAATCATTTCTTGACAACCTTGCGTTGGAATCATAATGTAATAGGGGAACCTTCCTCCCACTAAAACCTTCTGGTCTCCCAGGAAAGCTTTTCTCAAACCAATTAGGCGGGGTTCTCTCTGATTTATCCGGAGAAGATGAGCCAGCCATGAGATTTTCTCTACAACTCCAGCTCCTAGTTAACTTTAAACTTCTAGGTTGTTTTTCAGGGTAAGGATTACCAAGAGAATCAATGGTCATCTGTACATTATGTAGTCTCTGCTCCAATGTGCCATATGTAAAACCACTTTGCATCTGACTCCCTTCTCTATCTGCATTCACTGGGGTTGATATCATTTCTTGACCTGCTACACTTGTATCCCCAGATGTTACTTCACTTTCAACAGTAGATAAAGCAAGGGATCCAGAATTCTTGTCCGTGCTTGACTCTTCCATCTCAATACAGCGGACTTCTTTGCAGTTGTCATCAGTACCTTCTGCAGTCCCACCTGCGGGATACTCTAGACTCTGGCACGAATCAGATCTAAGCTTCTCATTAATCTGTCCGTATACCTCCTCGGCACTGCTCTCACCGTCTCTGTCATCAAAATGAGGATTGCTGAACTTTCTGACGCCATTCATATAATGAGGATCAGCCACACTTGATGATACTGAGCCTTCATCATCTGAAACATCCCCGGCATTCCATTTAGGATTAAGGTCATCTGAAGGCTGAAAGAGAAGAAACAAGTGAGAGTTACAAAAATAATGGTATATATAACACGTAATTAATCTCCATAGTCCATAAGCAAGAATATGTACTTGTCTGGAATCGTTATCCTTTCGAACCATCCGCAGTAAATCCTCCACTCGTGATTCAGCAAGATCACGTTGCTTTTTCAGCTCTCTAATTTCCTTGTCCATCTGAAAAAGGTCACATGTCATGTCTTGGTTTAAATGCATTCAGTTAGAAACTTGCTTAAATGAAAACATGGTTGCAGATTCCAAATATGGGCATGGATGAATTCAAAACCTACAGCAAACTTACACCTAAGCTGAGTATATGAGTCAAGGCAACCCATTTTATGATCTTATAAGAAGCACACAATTAATAATGACATCGTGTAGATGCTAGGTACATGGAGATTTCCTTTAGACCGGCCATTTGATATAGCCATACTGTGATCAGAATTATTTTTTTTCAGAATAAGGAGGTACGGTATTGTTTATGTTGGGAAGAAACTTGGAGAAACATGTATTTGTGAAACTTAGAAGCAAAATTCAATACATCTAAACTGCTGTCTTCCAGACCTATCTTCTCTTCTGAAAAAAATTCTTTCAATTGCCATCTGTTACGGGTCTTCAGAAATGTCAACATAACTGTGTGCTTATATTTAATTCCAGTTTATAGGTATTCTTCCCTAATTGTAAACTTTCTAAGAAAGAGAACCCTTGCCTTTTCTATCTGAAGATCTTTCTTTCTAAGCAACGCTGGGTAATCACAAGTTGACGAAGGAGGTCCAGGTGTCCTCAACTCACTCTCCAATCTAGCCAGCTCTTTCTGTAAATGTTTAACCAGGGCCTTATCTGACATGACTACATTGACCTGTGCTTTTGTAGTCACTTCTTTCGCACAACAAGCAAACAAAAGAGTGTTTCTTGTTTGCTCAACATGGCTTCGTGCAGGGCTCAAAGTGCAAATGATGGCTGTTCTAGCATTACCACCCAAGGCAGGCTGCAGTATGCGTGTTAGCTTCGAATCTCTGTAATTGACATGGCCATTCCTTCCTTTACTGCATGGAACAATATAACTAGATTTACAAATCACATCACCAGATAAAATATCTTAAGGAATAGGGATGTATACTCAAGGCCACTGGGGATACAATAGTAAATCTAAACGAATAGTGTCATTATCTCTTCAATTTATTCTTTTATAAAAACTCACCTTAAAATTGTGTTTCCTATATTAATAAGAAAAAATTGCTTCATTACAATTTACAACAGAGATAAAGATAAGGCATGTAATTGTAGTTCAAAGAGGTTAAGCCATTTTTGCGCCTCACTGCAGTTCCCATCCAAGAAATCAAATTTCACTTCTGCTGATATAAAGTGATTTTAAAAAATTATATTGAAAACATCGGATTTGAAATCAAAGATTCAAAACAGGTTAGTATACATGGGCGTAGAAAAACATATTAAAAAGAAAGTGTCAAGAATAAATAATAATATACTACACCTTTGCATGTCAAATGAACTTGGTAAAGTATATAACATAAAGGAAGGATGGATTATACAAACCTTAGCTTGCGAATAACAGTGCTAAGAGTTAGTAAACTGCGATTAATGTGGCAGCCTTCTTTTAATCTCATCCCAGCTGATAATGCCTGGGCTGCACGCTCGCTTCCTGCCAAGTCCACAAAGTTCTGCAACAAACCCATGACCTGAATTTAATATCTACTTAATATTGCAAATGGAAAAAATTAAATTAAACTAACACATAAAGTTTTATATATTCTACCAAATATCCAATCTAGAAGTAATTAAAATATACCACGCTAGCTGCAAGGGTGGTTGAATTGCCTTTGCCTAGGAACTCACGAGCAGAACTTTCAATTGCCTACAAGTTAAAGCTGGGTTAAGCAGAGAAGTCGAAGGCACTCCATCTGAAATGAATACACTTATCAAAGAAAACCCAAGGGGAGGGGCATACCAATCTAATAATTTGATGTGATCTAGAGCTTTTTTCGTTTAATGCGGTCTCCCCTATCTGTCTTTGAGCTGTAATACAGACAAATCATTAAGATATAACACTTTATGGTAAATGCAGTACTTTCTCAAATGCTTTACCTTCGCAAGTAGAAAGGAGCTCCTTTAAATGGCTCCAGTCCCTCAGAGTTTCCTCTGTGATTTTCTCTATTATGGTTCCCCGCTGAAGAGAATATAGAAGTGTTAAAGCAAAACTCATATACAAAATAACCATCTCAAGAAATTAAAAATAATTAAAAGGCATCCACCTCAGGATCATCTAGCAGCCTAAGTGGAGTATTATCTGTGCTTAGGAGGTCTCTGACAGCTTCATTGTATATCTCAATTGCTGAAAACTTAACAACAAAAGCTCGTTCCTCATGCTGAAAGAAATAGCAAACTTTATGTTAGTGATGTTTGCAATAGAAACTATCTTTATATTATTAACGTCTGCAAATAAACAGTAGTCAAGTATTAAAATTGAAATGAAGCAATGAACTTGTTAGTAATTGTTCTTACCGCATGTATATAGTCAAATATTTCTGCTACTGTAAACTCTGTTATACCATTCATGGTGTACGTTTTCCCACTGCTTGTTTGACCATATGCGAAAATACTTGCTGAGAAAGAAATTTTTGGTGTAAACTTCTCACTAATTACATAAAGTAAGAAGAACGTCAACACACAGATCTATATACTTACAGTTGATACCATTGACAACTGAAAGAGCAATTTGTTGGGCTCCTTCATCATAAACCTGCCTTGTAGAGCAATCACCCCGAAATACTTTGTCTACAATAAAAATATGAACAAAGATATATAGATAAAATAGATAAGATGTATCCCATAAATCAATGAACTATGACAAAACTATGCATTCCAAGAAATTCAAGCAAAGGCCAGTGCTGGATATTAATGGTAAGCAGATGTTCCATTATAATCTCAGATTCAAACACCTAAAAGGAATTACAGTGAGTACGCTGTATACAGATGTCCCACTCTATACAGATGAATATATTCTTACCAAATGTATAGGCAGTTGGAAATGTAGACCCTTCCCGCAGCGTGTTTCGGTATAAGATGGTTGTGTCATTGATGCATTCCCAATCTGCTACTTCATTTGCTGCAACCTCCTTCTGACTCAGAGGCCTCAACCTCACCAAAACCAGAATCTTCTCTTCGCGAGCACTTGCTCCTTGCATCTTCTCCCACTTCACTGCCTCTTCCCCACCAATTGCCCCCATTATCTCACTTGTCCACCCAATACTCTTGTCAACCCAACCACCAATTAATCAAAGCTTAACAAACTGAAAAATCCCATCAAATTTCTGAAAGCGGAAAAAACAAGCTCGGTGTTAAAGTACTCCAAGCCACTCTCATTTCCAAAATGCAAGATGATTTAAATGTTAAACACAGGGTTGTTGCACTTGCCATAAATTAGGCCCGTCATTACCAAATTATCTGCAAAAAGAAGCTAAATCATGGGCATTAACCCAACCACCTCAGAAAAGGCAAAAGAAGCATAAAGAATGCTAACTAACTATGGGTCACATCCGCAACAACAAGCTCAAACATGGGTTTAAGAATTTTAACCCGTAAACAACAGAGAATTAAAAAAAAACACCCCTAAATGCCAATCACGTCTTAAATCTGCAACCACAAGCCATTCGTGGCCAAATCCAACCACCCCCGGAAGACAACAGCCACAAAGAAAGTTAATTATACTTTAAAGCTTATTAAGATGAAGGGTTTTTTAATTTCTTTCGTCACGCTCATTCTTCGATTTTAAGCTTCATTTCCACCACATTATAAGAAAGAAACACAATGTCGTCTGTATTATCTGTCATACAGCCCTCAACAACGACTATGCTTCAACAGCAACCAACCGAATCCCCACTAATAAATTTCATCAACGGACCACCGAAACGTGCAACATTTCGGAGACAAAGGGTCCCCAAAAGCTTCAAGCTTTAACAACCAGAGATTAACCATGAGATCTTACCTTGCAAAGCTTTGTCGTCTTCAGAAAACCGTTACAGATTGCCCCACGACGTGTCTCTTCAGCCTGCACTGTGAAGCTTCTGCTCCTCTGATTTGTGCTCTGCAACACCAAAGAAATACAAAAACTTAATCATATTAAAAATTAAAAACTAAGAATTCAATGCAACAGTGACGGTGGCACTAAACCCAATTCCAACGGTCATTTACATCAAAAAAAAAATAACTAGTTAAAATTATAAAAAAATAAAAATAAAAAATAAAAAAACCAGAACAAGTGTGACAGAATCGCTGTATTTTTAATTCAGTCTCAGAAAATGCCCCTGCGAATCCAATTTAATTACCTTTTTGGGACAAGAAAAAGTCAATGCTTGGAATTTGGAGCTCCTTCTGCGGAGGAGGGGTGAGTAGGAGGAGGAGAAGGCATTAGGAAGAAGACGTAGCTTAAAATTCCAGAGAGTAAGAAACTTGACCAAAAGTTTACTCACTCAGACGAATAAAGCGACAGCCGACAAGGGAAAGGAAAAGAAAAAATTGACGAATAAAGCGAACACAACGGAACGGTACGGGAACGAAACGGCACCGTACTGGAGGTTGGAGGAGCTTTCGACGTAACAGTACAAATTGTGGAACAATATTTTCAAGCAGCCCATGACCTGCGTGTGAAGCTTCTCTTCCAAAACGGAGAGAAGACACGCTTGCTTGCTTTCCTTCTCCAACTCCAGCTTTCTCTGTACGGGTTGCAACTTAAAATTACGATTTTGTCCCTGACTTTTGGCTTCTCTGTCTGTGGGAAGGCACGCGAATAAAGGAAATGTTGGGGAGCTTTTTGGGATGAGGGACACGTGGGGGGGTTTGATTGGGTGAGGTGGTTTGCATTGTGTAACTGTTCGATGATGGCCGTTGAATTGTTCGGTTTTGGGTGGTTGCGGTCGACGGTCGGGATTGGACGGTGGATTGCAGTTGAGTAAAAAGGGAAGAAAGAGCGATCATGTGTAGTTCAAGCTTTATTTGAGTTGGAAGTTGAAACTGAAAAGGAAGGAAAGGAATCATGGCGAAAGAAGATTAAATTAAGATGCCTTTAATGATGATAGATCAATGTGACTTACCAAAAATAATCATACAGTAACATGGGTGCTTATCAAAAACGAAATCATTAGGTTAGAAAGTAAGATCATCTCTAAATACACCACAAAATTTGAGGTGGGTCAAGTTGGTCTTTTTTTTCTAATATTAGTTCTTGTTGGCTTGAGGAGCCTACATTTAATCCATGACGCTCTCTTTGAATTAGGAATACTATGTGATGTAATCTTTCATTTAAACCCTTAGATTAAGCTAATGGTGGATTAATCGATAACCTTATATTGTCTGTTTTTACATCCTAACAAAATAATGATCTCGATTAAAAAGAAAAAAAGGGTTTAGGCACGAAACACTTCGATATGTCTCCCTTCCATCCTTTCTCCCTCCTTCCCTCGCCATGGCGATGACAGCATCTCCTTTGGCCAAGCCCAGCATTTGGGCCCTTGCTGTCGAAAAACAGGAATCCAAATTTGAACAATAAGCCAAAAACGCATGAGCCTCCCTTCGTTGAGTTCTCAACTCTCTGCAACTGTTGCTACCATGCCCAAGAATAAGACACAGACCACCTCTGCCAATATGAACACCATCGACGTGCTCAAGCCTAACCTCGTGGAGCAACCCATGTGTCTGGTCCACAAGAACCAGATGTTTTTGTAGACCATTCAATGCAAGTGAATGGCTGATGAGCTTGATTAAAATTGGCTCAGCAGCGGATTTACGTCTTATGGGAGCGATTGGGAAGGAATAAACCGAGATGTGCCTTCAAAGGCAGACGAGATTATTGATTGGGGCGTCGTAAAGAAATTGATGAAGGGTAATGGGTTTGAGAGGTGGGTTTTTTGGTGGGTCACAGTCGAAAGTTGTTAAATAAGATCATTGGGTATATAAATATGTTATGCGTTGTGTGAAGGACAGAGATTTGGCAGCAATGGCCGCAGTGGTGCTAGTGGTCTGTTTGATTGAGATTCAAAATAGGAATGCCAGTGATAGAACTGAAAGAACTTAGAGGAAGTGGCCGATTCATGTCCCCAGAGGTTTGTTAGGGTGTCATAGGGATAATATAAGGTTAATCCACAGTTAGATTAATCTAAGGGTTTAAAGGTTTAAATGAAAAATAACATCACAGATCCTCAAAATGAGGACTGTAGGTGAAGATTGTATATGCCCTTAATTTCTTTAAATAAAATTGATACTATTTCACCTAAAAAAATGAAGATCCTAATTGCACATTTTCATGTTGAATCCAAGAGATCCCATCCTAAATTTTTCATATTTTATTGTATCAAACATATGAAATTATCAAATTGCCCTTGAGGTATGAATGTTGACTTTTGTTAACCGTCTCGTCAAAAAGCATATTACAAATCTTCTTAGTTTATTCTTATTGTACTCATCGCCACGAACGCGTGGGTGCGAATGGATTCAAATTTGGATTTATAACGAAGATTTTACATTACGAAACGTCGAACGTTTTTCAAATATTTTCGTGTTTCGTTTTTAATGACCTTGTTTTGTGAGCTACTAGGGCCCACATGTTTCCCCTTATACCCATGAGTCCCCCTTCCTTTCCTGAAAATATCTAACACACACACACTCTCTCAACTCCTTCCCTCACCTCTCGGCTCTTTCATTCTCTCTAAAAAACTAGCCCTCCCCGAGGGCACTACAACCAACGACAACAACAACACTCCCACCATCGCCCAAACCAAGAGCACCATGAGCTTCATCTCGTCCTCATGGTCCTAGAACACCCAAACTCACCTCGAACTTCCTTTCAGATCGTCGGGATCGAAACCTAAGTCTGTCTGCAACATTTCAAGCTATTTTCCGGCCAAACCACAACTAGTTAGCTGTCAAGAAAGGTACCATTATGTTCATCTCGTTCCAAGGTATGATTTTTGTTTTTGGATCACTCAATTTTGTTGAGTATTGACAAAGTTATGAAAGTTTAAAGTTTACCCAGAAATCCGGCGAGTTCCCCAGTTTTCCTGCGGACAAGTCACCTATCAGGCCATTTTTTGGTCATCTCCGACAACTATTGGGCTTCCAGTTAGGTACAAACTTATTCTACACTTTCTAGCTTTGTTTTGATATATTATGGGTTGAATTTGGTTAAAGAACGAATAAGTTACGAAGCTTTGAAAATTGCCCAAACTTCCAGCCAAAAACTATGATCGGGTTAACCCGCCCCGTTAACCGTAATCCGACACGTTGACGGTTGACCCGACCCGTTGAATTTTGATCAATCTTGATCATTAACCTGTCAACATTGACTTTTGGTTGACTTTTCGGGTCTCACAGACTAATTTCAACATCCTGATTCCAAATCCATGATCCGCTTTCCCAAATTCAATCGTTTTAGTAGAGTTTTATTAATTGGTCCTTTTTATGTGCTTAGGTGTGTTTGTTAATGGAAACCCCATCCTCTAGTTTGAGCGGCTCTTTGACGACGAAATATCTGTGAGTTGACCCCTTCTAAAATGCATGATTTATCATTAGAAATGCATAAATGAAAAGCACGCTTTTATGACTTCGTTTTATGAAACGTTTATGAGTAAATCAAATTTACACTTTTATGAATTATCATGCTTTATCGAATTTATGTTTACTGAGATATTTATGAATATGATTTATGATATGATGTTTGAGCTATTGAGCTCCGATGAGATATATATAGTTTGGAAAGATTATGTTTATGATTTTATGTGCTTACATATGGAAATGATACTGATATATGCCTTCAGCGGGTGATGAAGGGCCTTCCGGCGAATGATATTTATATATGGCTTCGCCCGGGTGATGTAGTGGCTTCAGTCAGAAGATATTTATATATGGCTTCGGTCGGGTGATGTAGTGGCTTCAATCAGAAGATATTTATTTATGGCTTCGGCCGGAAAATGTAGTGCCTACGAGCGGAAGATATTTATATATGGCTTCGATCGGGAGATTTAGTGCCTACGGGTGATTGTGATACCACTACTAAGCACACTATATGATATATGTTTTATGAAGGTTTTATGGCATGCTAGGGTTTTCGGAAAACCTATTACTTATTATGCTATATGAGTTTTTTTAACTATGGGTTAGTAAGTTGAAGAATAACTGTTTCAAGTATTACTTATATATAACTTGGTCCACTCATGTTTTGTTTTACACCCCCTCAGGACTTAGAATCGAGGCGTACAATGATAGCGTCATGGCACTCCCGCATTGGTATCTTCGAGTCATCTCAGTGTAGGACTCATTCTTCTTGTAATCGCACTTTCTAATATTCCTTCTGCTTCTATTTTGAACTAATAGTTTGCTCTGAACATGTCATGCATTATCACTTTTACATTGTTGGCAGTTGAATATTATATTTTATGAAGGTTTGTACTTGATTACTATATTGTGTTGTTACGCGCAAAATGACATGCTTCACATGTTATCGGCATATGCATTCATGAAATGGCTTGCGTCACCCTCTGGTGTTGACCAGCACGTGGCCATCATGTTGTCCTTTGGACATCAGGATCGGGGCGTGTCAATGATTGTTGTTCTCTTACATTTCACTGTCATGTGATTCAATGGTAAAAACTAAGCCCGACAAAGAATTCAATAATCATACTTCCAAAATGGAAAATCTTATCCAAACTGTTTGGACCATAATTGAACAATTGGGCCTATCTAAGGCCCAACGTCCCATTTAACTCATACTTGTATTTTTAACAGAGATTAATAGTGGATGTCCCTAGATTTTAAAGTGCTTTTGACGTGGCATGCTTGGGCAACAAGTTCACCCTTATTCAAACAAATAAAAGGTTTACTCAACCAAGTTTCTCAATGGGAAAAAGACATTCTGTTGCAAGATCTATAAATTCAACAGGATCAAAGCTATCCAAGTAAGAGCTCATCCTTTGATAAACATAACATCAATAACTTGGATGAAAGGGAATGAACTGAGTTAGAAAAGCTTAATTCAGAAAGAAGAAAGGTTCTATAAAAGGTAGCAAAAGGATTAGAGAAAAAGACATCTTAAACGCTCTGTAGTCTACTTTCAGTTATTCACTTTGTACTTCAGACATTCCTTTGTATTTAGAGCTTTACTACTCCCTTTCGTAGTATCGATCTTCTTTGTAAAAATTCATTTATTATTGTATTGCCCGCAATAACAAGAATTTGCCGACAGGCTTGGGAACTTGCTCGACTAGGTTGAAAACTTGCCCAAGGGCTTGTATTCATCATTTGCTTTCAAGTTATTGTCATCACATGTTATTACTAGCTGTTATATTAATGTTTCTTAAACATTTACTGACATAGTTCTCTGTTTGTTCACTTTACTTTATTTTTCTACATTCTCCCTTGCCTTAGTGCCTGCTCAAGGCTTGACTAAGGCACCTTGTACTAACAAGAGTTCACCACTCACTTTCAGGGGAGGTTATGTGAGGATCTCGCATCCCGACACAAACTTAGTTCCAAGTTATAAAATTTGACTAAAGAAACATGTATTTTTGTGATTGATGTTCCCATGCACATTTAAATCTCAAACTCGAGAATGTAAGACTCATTGTATGATAGTTCTCATACTACTTGCCATCATAGTAATAAGAAACAACTTATGTTTCCTTTTACCATTTTCAGACTTTACTTGCAAATCATTTGCAAGTTTCGATTCCATGGATAGGTGGATTGCCTAAAAAACAGGTCTCTCTAAAGAGAAAATTTCTTTGTCAGGCACTCACAGGTCCACTTGAATAGGGTAGAAACCTCGCCTTTAGAGCACTTCCAATGTGTAAAGGCCCCTTTTGGCAATAGGCAATTCAATCCCCTCAAGTGAATGGTAACCACCTTTAATGAGCAGTAATTGTTTATTGCATCTCCAACCCTAAATTGAATAGACCAAGCAATTCATATTAAAATACTAGTATTTTTTTATTTTATAAAATAATAAAA